CGAAGATACCGCCAAATTCCAAAGGCTTATTGATTGCGATGCGTAGGAACGGGTCCGTGACAGGATGCGGATTGGGGCGGTGAGTGCACGCCCCCAGGAAACGTGTCGGGATGAATCGATGGCAATAAAGGCCAATTATGTGAACGCATCATATCATGTATGCATTTAATATGCCCAGGCCCCCTGCTACAATGACAATATTATCATTGCTGTGGGTGTGCTGCTCTGTGTGATTGACTGTTTTGTCGTTGGATGCTCCTACCTCTTTGTTTTCATTGAAGAGGATTTACCGTTGCTACGTATAGGAATGTACAATGTCTAGAGGATGATGTAGGATGCAATTCAATTGTTGGGGACAAAGCAGTAATTTGGGTATGGTAACTGTATTGATGTGATTAAAAAACTTTTGAAGGAATTTTAAACTTGTTTAAAAGTTTTGCCTGACCTAGCTCCCTTCTCACTGCTCTTGAGATGCTTCAGATTGTATTTTTTGTTAAAAAGAAGCTCTATAGAATATACAGACTTTATATAATTCTTTTAGATTTTAGGAGCAATATTACATTTATAACTTTTCATCAGCAGGCCTCCATGTATATAACTACATCATAATACTCTTAAACCTTTGCAGGAGGCTTTAATTTCTGATTGTATTATAGAATTAGATTAGTAGTCTTTTTTCTTTATTTTGCAATGGTAATAAATATTAAGTTTTCTTTCTTTGAAATACTCCCTTTCTTGAGCTTCCCCATACCTTCAATACTCTAGAGGTGAATATTTTAGTCTTGAACAGAACAGAATGAAATATTCTGTTTGCCTCGATTGTTCTTCAGAACCCAACAAAATTGACTGCCTGACACCCCAGAAGCGTGTGTAATAGGATCTATAAATCAAGAGGACCCTAAATCATTACATGGGTCGTCGCTTTCGATGAACCTTTCTTCACCTCGTTTGTCACTTTGATATTTGTTTTATGGGTCTGCACCATATCATGTTTCCACATCGAGAGTCTTTTCTTTTATATGAATTGAATTAATTTTGGTAGTGTTTATGGACATGCTATATGTCAAAACACCTATTTTTCTATTTGGAGGGTTTTGGTACATTGTTCCTTTAGATAAAAGATAAATAAACAAGAAAGAAAAAATACAGAAACATGAAAGACAAAGATCTTACTATTCATTTGATTTAATGAAGAAAGAGACAGATTGCAAGACAGAGATAAGAAAGACAGTGGGAGATAGAGAGGGAGAGAGAGAGATAACAAAAGATAGATTATTTTAATAACAGAGGAAGAGAGATAGGAAGACACAAGAAGAGAAGTATTGGGACAGAAAAGAGCAGATATACATGTGGAGGGAAAAGGGGAAGAGAGAGGATAACAAGAAAAAAAAAAAAAGAATTCTTCATATTTGTAGCTAGCATACGATATGAACTTTCTTCTCCAAGAGTTTAAAGCAGAGCGAAGACATATAGAACAAACAAACAGATACTTGAAGAAATGTTATGTTTAATCTAGATGTATATATCTCCATTCTCCCCTGAATCAAGGGAAGTGAAAACTGTGTGTACAGTAGAGCTCTCTATCTGTCATCGATACTTCCAGACATGATCAAATCGTTAAGCGCTGTAAAAACCCGAAGCTTTGGCTCTTGCGACAATCAATTTCAGTTTGTAACAGATTTGTCATCTATACTTTCTAGAGTAGATCAAATTGTTGAGCACTGTAACATCTGAAGATTTAGCTCATGTTTTGGGGTTTGTCATGACATGGTATTTACGTAAGGGAAGGGAAAAAACCTCCGTAAAAACTGATCAAGATTTAGCTGTAACTCGATCCCGCGACAATCACTTTGAGTTTGTAAATGACAGGGGTAAGCGTGGATGGAAACGAAGAAACCAAGGAGAACCAGAAAAGATATCCTTTTCACTCTCGCTAAAAGTCAAGGCAACCGGTTCAACAACCTCGACCATAAATAGCTTTCTACATTAGCAATTGAAACCTGAGCAGGCACAGGAAAATATCACCAACAGCATTTTACCAGCTCCGCACTTGGGCAAATATCCAACGGGTTGTGGCACGAGTCGGGTGTAATCAAGCCACTCTTCTCTGAACAAAAGAATCTTGTCTGAAAGAGAATAATTATCATTTTCAAACCTAGGGGAGCGATTGCGAGGTTGCAAATTTGTTTAATTTCCTACCTTTAATCATTGAGCATTGCTGTCTACTATAATTTTTTAACAATTTCAATTCAGGAAGTGCATTAGTTACCAAGGATATTTATTCCTAGCTCTCGTCGTATTTGACTGCCCTATTTTAGAGGGGAAGCAAATTTGGCCTTCATTATTGAGATATAAAGTTACAAGTGAGATCTAAATGCCATTCTTTGTTCAAGAATATATATGATCAATTTAGAAATTTAAAAATAGGTTAGGAAGAATGAGTATTGCTAATGACGTAAGGCCTGAGATGTAATGAGAAAGCTATTTAGAGGAGAGCAAAATCTAAAGAGAGGAAATTAAAAGTGGTCCATGCAACAAGGGTATGGTGAATTACTTGCTTGACTTTGCTACTGGGTATTGGGTGGCTATCATCAGCAAGATAAAAGGGGGGAAATATTGAAGAACTCTTGGGCACTTGCGTTTCTGTTTGTAGTTAGCTCTTTCATCTCAGATTAGTAATATGGTTTCTTCTTCATCACTGTTAATAAACATTTCCTTTTTTTACTGGAATGCCACAAAGAGTTTGCCTGTTAAAAGCCAAGAAAGGCGTTAATTCATTCTTTCATTTTACATTTAGTCAAATAATTTCCTTCTGTCTGTCAGTAGACAAGTTTTCCTTATTTCATTTCAACTTTTAGCATGTTTCTTCTAATTTATTTCGCTCTTTTTTTCTTCTTTGAAATTAGATATATACTCCCACTATTTCTTTACACAAAGTTCATTGCAAGTAATTAATTGATTGAAAATTTGATTTTACAATTTGAGGTTTCTTTCCAACCATCATAACTGAGAATGAAACAGAATCAAATAAACAGGAGTTCACTAACAATTTGGCACTTTCCCTGAACTCTCCTCCCGACATTTTTATCAGCGGGCATTCCATCGTTGCCATGCAGAACTCCATCCTGCTCACAAAATTACGACGTTGACATGATGATGCGCCCCTCTTTCTCTCCTCATCATTTTGAATGCTCTCCCACAAGCAAACTAACATGACCAGAACATACCTCACAGAGCTCGTTCATCAATGCCACAGGCTAGACTGGGGGCAGTTTACGAGGGACTGTGACTAGATTAGATATGTATGGAATCCAAACACGGCCATATTATGATGTCAAATAGAAGGTATAGCTAGAAGTCTGGATGCAGAAGAAATGTGGTATTGGTGAAAGTGAGAGCTAGGTCCTGGGTTTTGATCAGTGATTTGATAAATCCGAGGGATAGGTATTATATTCAGGTGTATCGATTGGGTACCTTCGGGAAGAGCATTCATTATAATGATGAGGCTTCCCTTACATGGATATAGATGTCATGGTCAAATGGAAACATCACTGGACTGTGGATCACATGGTTTGCAGTCCAAGTCCTTCCTTTGGCAAGACATTAATTTATATTTGCCACTCTCCATCCAGGTGTTAAATGGGTACCTGGTAGGGTACAAACTTTACATGGTTGGATTAGCATGTACGTGCTTGTATTTTCATTTCATTTCATTCATTTATTTATTTAATCAAGCTGTTAGGTAGGTAAAATAACGAGGGAAAAATTTTGCCATCTTCCAAGACATATAGTTTATCATGTGAACCCACAATAACTTTGGAATTCGAGCCATTTTGTCTGAAAAACATCTGCATTTCTATCACAGAAGAAGGAAGAAAACTCTTGTCATGTCAATAAATTCATTTTTCTCTGGGTAGTCTACACGCACGTACTCTAACTTGACACTCGACCATGATTCCTAAAGCCTGGAGTCAAACCTAGCTCTGCTGGTCTCTGGCATGGTGTGCAGTAGACCGTGCAGTCTGTATAGTCTCACAGTGCAGACACTCTCTCACTACACACAACAACTGACGAGGGTTAGTGTCTGCAAACTAGTCTTCAGATAGATGGTCACATGTTCTCATTCACATCACGAATAGCTACCTCACGTTCGGGTCATATGCCCAAGCGAGGGCTCCGGCCTCCTCGCTTCATCAAGTTGGAGCAAAATTTAAGACATGCGACCGCCTTTGGGGATAGATAATGCATTATACATAGGATGGTGTATGGATGAGCTTTAATATTCGTTACTCCCATCGGTGCTGTGAATCGTCTATTCTATTGTTGTACGATATGCGTGGGCACTGTGAAAAAGTAGTAAAAACCTTGTCACAGCACCAGACTGACTCTCCAATGACCCAAACATGCTTCTCCTTGGCCGTTCAATGTAATGTAATCTCTTTGTTTTTCCACTGTTGGTCCGGTATCGCTCTTCTTAATATGACTAGGGTAATTTTGTTTGCCTTTCAATAGCAAGGTTGTTGATTTAAATCCCTACCTGATTTTATGCCATTGACCAAGGCATTTTATATAAAAATTGCCTGTCTAGACCCAAGTGTAGTTAACAGGTAACTAAGCAACACAAATTCTAGGAATGCTTTGTGCAAGCTTGACAAGGTTTTTCAGTTTAAGCCAGGGGAGAAAGTATGAAATATTTTTTACTCTCTTTTTAGTTCATATATTTTAGAAATATATATAAGTTTTTTGATTGCGATACAGTTTGTTACTGCAAATTAACAAACTTGAAATGTTTGGATGTCGATCTGCACATTTTTTTTCTTCTCCTTCTTCAGTTCATGCCTTATAGACAATATATTTCATTTGATCTTCAGTACTTGTATAATTTTTGTAAGTATAATTTTGTTTGTCTTGAAAATTAATTATGTTTTTTCTCTCTCTCTTGACAGATAACTTATCCTGCATCCACCTGGGCAGAAAGGGAAAATGTCAAGATTATCATAGAGGCTGAATTCTGAAGAGGTTTCTCCCACAGGAGTCTACATTTGGTAAGCCTCACTGCATTCATTCTTTAAAACTTATGCATACTTGATTTATATCTTAAATGTACTTCAAAAGAGTTGCTTATTCGGTCCGCTCAGTCAGACTTGAACCCTTACACAAGTGATGAAAGTCAAGAGAGTCATACAACGATCTGATTGCGCCGCACCGCTTTCTTTTGAGGTCGCTTTCATATATACACTCTAGCCATACTCAAATTATTTTCTAAGGTCTTTGGTACGCTTTAAAGCCCCACTGCACTACTTATAGCTACTTGCGCCCTCTATATAGAAAACAATGCCTAAGCGGTACCTGTTGGTCCCCCAAGATCCTCTTTTTCTTATGTTAATTGAGAGCTGATTTGATGAGATAACCACCTGTCAGTGACCTTGCAGGGAGGTCTAATCCCCCTGGCCAAACTAGTACAGACTGGCTTTAAAGCCTTGTACAGATATGCCTCGGTAAACTGTGGCATTAAAAAAAAATCATGATATAAGTGTGATACCCTTCACATTTCTATGTCTTAGAACACAGAGCTCAGTGAATATGCGTCAGATCTTTGTTGCACGCAGTTGCCAATTCATTTAAATGTTTTAAAAAATGTAGCGGTTAATTGCAGCATAACTGAGTGAGGCTTTGTACATGTGCATGCTTGACTGTGTATATAGGAGACCATTCTGTTTGGCTTTTTCTTTGTTTTAACATAATGTTAAAGCAGTGGACTGAAGGTCCAGTAAGTTTCAAATGTGAAACTTAAAACCAAGTAAATATCACAGGCTGTCATGTTTGTCTTCAGAAAGGGCAAAAGTAACCTAAGTCTAAAGCACACTGTTTAAAAAAGACTCAAAGTGAGATAAAATGAAGAAACAAATTAGACTGATAGGACATGTATTATGTTTGCTGTCACTCCTGTACAATTTGTATGCCTTTTTTTAATGATATCCCTATATTTCAAAATCAACCCCTCCTGTATACAGTATTCAATCATTCTTCTCTCCCTTAGCGATTCAACATTTAGCTTTTTACTTTTAATTCAATTTGGCATTTCCATCATAATCCCAGATGGCTAGACAAGCCAAAAATCATTCCATTAACAAACTGTCAAAAAGAGACCGAAAAGGGTCTTTTGAATTATGGACAAATATTGATATTCTTTCTCCTTCTAATTCTCCTCTGGGCGACTAATTCTCTGCCTTCCATTAATATTAACTGTTGTTGCATTTATCCAACGTCGGCGCCTGCTTAATCCTCTAAGCATACTCCATTATGAAGAATAACAGGGAAATATTAGTTTGACATTTAAGGACTCAAATAAGGTTGAACTTGTATGTCTGAAAGTGTATATTTAGCTCCTTCTGTAGAGAGACTTAAAGGAATCATGCAGACCATGGAGATGTCTTACGAAAGTCTTGTATTCTTTAATATTCTTAGTTTTTTATCAGGTTTTGGATGAAAAATTGATGGTTCAACATTTTCTATGGTTGAAATAGCTCCGTAGTCAATTTCATCAAAGATAGAAGTTAAGGGTTAAGTTTGCAGTTGACCTTAATGTTATCTAAGAGGTTATAATAGGTGTCATACTCATAGTCAACTGGTTAGAAGCTCTTGACTGGAAATGCAATGGTTGTGGGTTCGATCCTGGACATGGCACCAATGTCCTTTGGCAATACATTAATCTACATTTGCTACTCCATACCCAGGAGAGAAATGGGGACTTGGTAGGATGTGATAGAAATTGCATGAAGCCCTCACTGCGACCATATGGTAGCAATACTCCCCAAGGAGTGGAAATTGTGCACACTGTGCATGAATAAATCTGATGACAGGGGTTATAGTAATATTAGTCAATACTGACTTCATCTGCAATCCGAATAAAATTTGACCCCAGGTGATTTAATTTAAGGGCAAATACCTTGCACCTTCTATATTAAAGTATCTGACTAAGCCGTGGTAGAAAATGAGGCAAAAATGGCTCCTCCAATTCTTCTCTCCCCCAAATATCAAATCATCTACACAGAGTCAGAAGGGCATTAACTCTATGTCAAAGTATGTGCAGTTATGCCCCTCTGGTCCTCAGCAGATGAATTATAAATTTGGAAAAGATTGCTGGAAGCAGTAGACCAGCGGCCATTGATGGAATAATGATCTAGTCTCACCCCTCACTTGATTTCCAATTACAATCTACCAAGGGACTCATTAAAATTGATTGCTACTAACCAATGGAAGAAGTATGGGGTTATAGTCCTGCATGTTATTATCTCAAAGTGCATGCGGTAGAGGTCACTAGCTGGATTGGGGCCTTGATCTACTTGAACATCGGTCATTTTGGATACCTTGGCCCCCCTCTTTAATACAAAGAGTTGATATTAATCGCAAGTACGTACATAAGAGATAGGAGATTGCAATCAATTGGAGGACTTTCGGGCCCTGATGTCTTGAATTTGCAGTGAGAATTGAAGTGTGCTATTTATACTTTTAATAATGAGTCAATTTTCATTAATAGGAATGGCTCCATGGGCAAAATACTTTCTGACATACTGATTGTCATGATTGATAATGATGATAGTAATTATAATAAAACATTAAAACCTGCTTTAATGACCACCTGTCTACAAAGACCACATTTGTTTAACCCTTGAAAATGGTTTCTCATATACCAAAGAAACCTGTCTACAAAGACCACTTGTGTCGCTATACACAGGTCTGAATGTATGCAAATTTGGAAGGTACCAAATTCAATTTGTATTTGAGTGGTGAATTCAGTGAAAGTGATTAATACAAAGAATGATGCATGTGTGACTGTAGCTTATTCAATTTGATAAAATAAATTAGAAACATTTTACACGCATATAGTGCTACACTGTTTATTTCTCCATAGGGTTATTTGTTTTCGTGTAGCGAACTTGGACGGTGCAGATGAGCCTCACAGAGACAACAATCTTGATCACTCAATATAGAGCTGCCCGAGCTCATGTTTAAACCTATGCATTACATGAAATTCATTTGCACTAGGATTCTATGTGTACATGAAAAATACCACAGAATTACAGTGACAGTCATTGCGAGCATATGTACATAAACATGACAGCGTATGAGTTAATATAGAACAGGATTGTTGATATAGGTATCTCAATAAATGATCCTCAAATCCACAACCCTGTCATTCCCTGGCAATGCTTGAGATCCATGTAAAGCCTGAGCTGCTTTAGAGAAGCAAAAAGATCATGGGAAAAAAGTAAAAGTAAACCAAAGATGAAATGTGATTATCCATTCAAATGTCATGATGAAACCAAGATTTTTTTTCTTTTGTGTTGGGTATAAAGACAATTATCATATTCAAGGCTACTATAGCCAACTCTCATGTACATACATATAATGCCAGCTAGCCTCATATAATTGCATCTGAGCGCCCCATTGTCTACTCATGACCTGTTCTTCCTATTCTAATTTCCTCCCATTATGTGAAATTCTGAGCTGGAAACTGCCCCAGGCAATTGCCCTAGAACATGTGATTCATACATCATTATCATCTATGCCATTGTGCTTGAAAAGTTGAATGGGAAAAGGACTGTGTCCTAGGGACTGTGTCATGCTTGTCTACATGTAGATCAAGTCTACGTTGTACTAACCAGCACCTGTAGATCGGATACCAGTTATAAAAAGGTACATATTTATTTACTCATTAGAAGAAGCAATTAATTGCATAGATATTTCATTTCTGTCAATGGTTGTGCCAAAACTTGCAGAGGTAACACTCAGTTTTAAAGGGAGTGTAGCATGACGAGACTACATTTCTTTCCCGTGGCCTGACTCACGGCCAATCGGGTATAATAATACTACGGACGATGCGACGGCAACAATCATGTGTGTGCAACATACGCGAAACCATAGCATGAGGAGAAATTTGGTCTGTTTCGGGAACGCTGACCATTCAGAGATTATGTCGTTAACTACCGTTAATCAAGTCCATTCGTTTACGCGCAGTTGTCCATATGAAGACGTAGAGGGCGTTAATTAGTATTTGTCAAGCTACACTCCCTTTAACATAAAATTTATGTTAGAAATTACTGTTATATAAATCATTGGCGTGATATCTATCCTAAACAAGTGAACTGAACACAACTGAATAGTTAGCTTTCTATCTTACTTAGATATGAACCTATGCGCATGAATGTATTTCATATTCATATAAAAAAAAATTGCATTTAAAAATCTTTTTGTAGAGAGAATATGCTTGTTTGATTTAATTAGGCCGTATCCTTGTAGAAATAAACCAATATAGATATGGCATGGACATACTGCAGTTGAATTGGTTCAAATTTGAGTTTAGGTAGGGTGATTAAGGGAGCGCCGGGAGTGTCAAGTCGGACAGACATGAGCGCTATACAAAAATCCAGTATTAGTATTATAATATGGTTGAGACCCTTAAGTGATGGTTCTATGATTTCAAGTTAATTTGTGCTTTTACCAGTACATGTAAAGAATTCCCCCCCCCCTACTGTCTCACTTCCCATTCATCTCTTTCTTCCTCTCTCCTTTCTCTATTTCTTCTTTTTTTTTCCCACCCCTCTCTATTTTTCTCCTTTCTCACTGATTTTTGGCTATTAGCAATAATAATAATGATATTAATGACATATATATAATAATAGTTAAAATAATGATGATAATAATGATAATAAGATGATGGTGATGACAATGATGATAATAATAATGATAATAATCTGGGTTAATTTAGTGCTTTGTGTGTGTGTGTAAAGTCTCTAAGTGCTGTACAGAAATGTTATCTGTACCTCCCATCTAAAAAAAACATAATTATCATGGAATCCACATTGGCAAAAGTCCTTCTCTTACAATATCACATCTATTTCTAGCAGTAGTAATTACTCCTATAACATAACACCCCTTAGAACCAGAAAGGCTTTAACTCCCATCATCTCCTACAGAGAACACCCTTCTGCCCCTCAGCGGCCCCTATCAGCACTCGGGCAATATACTGCAGTGGGGTCCT